AGCAGGACAATAATAAATGCAGTTAGACACACATACACACATGCTAAGAGTATGTCTGAGGAGGCTTGGTCTGATCAGCACTTTCAGCTAATATTCTCATGCACCTCAAAGCTCAGCACATCCCAAACTCTTGTCACTATGGTCCTAGTAGTAACTCCCTTGATGAGCGGACCCCACCATAGTTTTGGGCATTACAGGGATCTTTGGCTTAGATAAAAAAAAGGTGTTGCTGCAGAGCAAATGGGGAGGTCAAGTGATGTTCAGAGAGAGAGAGAGAGAGAGAGAGTATAGCAACCAGCTTGACCATAAAAGTTATTTAATGCCAGGTGTATGAACTTATGATGAAACCAATAGTAATAGCCATATGAGAGAGACAAATAAAACAGTTACAATATTACACAGTTTCAGTTAGGTATTTAGGGAAGTCTAGCTCAAGTTTGATCAGCAAAAGTCCAATTTAGAAAGCTGTGCCTGGAGTAAGAGAGAGAGAGAGAGAGAGAGAGTTAGGGTCTCACAACTCAGCGAAGCTTGAACCAGTTGAGGCTCCCAGGTGTTTGTTGGAGCTTGCAGACAGCATGATCAATGCAGGGATTCCAGGCAGAAAAGGAGCGGAACTGGTGCACCTTTTGGATCCAAGCACCAGGACAGAAATTTGAGCTTAGGTAGGGGTTTTTGTAGAGACTTAACAATAGCTTAAGGGAGAATGCTAGGTTTGTTTATGGCGAAACAATGGCTCATATGTCGGATAATAGGAACTGAACACTCTTGGCTATGCGTGGCATTACTCTGAGGGAGCTCACAATACAGACAGGCAGATTTAGTGTTTTGAGTACCAATAAAGGAGTCATTACTAGAATTGGTCTGATAAATGCTGAGCTAGGTGTGTGTAGACGTGGGTTGATAAGCATTTGAAGCAGGGATCCCCCATCATGCAGTGCTTCCCTGCTTCTCTGGTCCCAGAATTAAGTGCCTTGGAATCTCTGTTCTCCATCCTGAATATTAATAAAGGTGCTGTCCCATGTCAACGAGACCAGGGGAGTTGCTTCACTCCTATCACCCTTGTCTGAAGGGCTTTAGATGCGTCTACCACTGCATCTTCATTGTCTTTTGTACGTCCTTCCTCTAATCAGTTCTTGTTCAGGTGAGTTGGGGTGGGGAGTGGGGAGGTGAGTCCTTTGTGAGTCAGACAGCCTGCATACTGTGTCAGGGTTTCCCAAGAACACAGAGCAGATGTGACGTAGCAGACAAATGACACAAACCTCTAAGACAGGGGTGTCCAACCTTTTTGAATGTGGGGCCGGATCACAAACTTTTTATCACCCAGTGGGCTGGCGAGCCATATTCAAAGACATCACAGGAAGTGGTATCATATCAGGAAGTGATGGCATGTGACCTTTGACACCAATGAAGTTGCAGGGGTTGACATGGTGCTGGTTGACACGGCCTGCATGCCCGGGTTGACATGGTGCTGCAGGACCCACCTGGGCAGAACCGGGTCAGCACCGGCCAGGAAAAGCAGCATGCAGCTGAAGCTGGCTTCCCATGTGCTGCTGGGGACGGGAGGAGGCTGGCCAGGTCTGCACCGGCCAGCAGAAGCGGCAGCAGAGCTGTGTGCCGCTCGGGACTGACCGGTGCAGGCTTGTCCCGTCCCGAGGGGCATACGGCTCTGCCGCCACTTTTGCTGGTGGGTGCAGACCCGGCCGGCCTCCTCCTGTCACCAGCAGCATGTGAGAAGCAGCCCCCTCGGGGCCTCGTGCGCGGGCGGCCAGACCCGGAGAGACGCAGCACCGGGGGGGAGACTGGCTGGGGGAGCAGGCACCGCCTTGCTGCCCCTGGGCCCTGCGGGGGTAAGCAGCTCCCCTCCCCTTGCTGCCAGCTGGGGCCCGCGGGCCAGCCCTGCCCGCCTCGCCACGGCTTTGTGCTCCGCAGCGCTCCCTGCCCACCTCGCTGAGCTCCCTCCACGCTCCCTGCCCACCTTGCCGCTGCAGCTCTGCGCTCCGCAGCCCTCCCTGCCCGCCTCGCCGCGCTCCCTGCCCGCCTCGCCTTTGGCGCCGGCTCCGCGCCGCCATGGGCCAGATAAAATGGCTTGGTGGGCCGCATGGCGGCCTGCAGGCCATATGTTGGACAAGCCTGCTCTAACAAGTCAGGGTAGATATGCACCTTGATAGACTAACTAAATAAGATACATATAGAAAGCACAAGCTTTGATGAACTCAAATGCACTTCATCAGATAAATACCTCTAAACCAGGGTAATTTCACCCAATCTGGTGGAGAATCACCCCCAAAGAATCAAGGATAAAACTCTACCAGTTGTAAGTCATGCTAGTTTATACTATCTACATGCCCTGTGTGATAGCAATTTTGCTTAGGTAAACAGGCTACTACTACCTGATTCCCCGCCATGCCTAGCAGTGAGGCACTAAACTAGCCACCTACCAGGCGAGTTCTCTTGGTAGCTGCACATCTGTCTGCTTCTGATCCTGATGTAATTTGCATCCATTTACAAAACCAAAATAAATCACATCGCAGTATATATTCCTCTGTTCAGGGCTTGAAACTGGAAAAGCCAACAGCTCTAGGCACTTACTTGCACTGCATGTGCTTTGCTTATGCTACAAGAAAAGAGAGACTAGCAAAACAGATACAGCAAATGCATGTGAAAGAGCCATATTATTTATCACTGGTATCTGGACCTTGCATGTTGCAGCTCTTGGTACCTCTTAATTCTGCCCTAAGTTATACTAAATTTATACTAATGCAGTCTGGAGCTGTCCAACCTTTCAAAAGTTAGTTCTCCCCCTGCCCATATGTCACAGAAAACATGAAATCAGCTGAAAAAAATCACAAGATTTAAAAATAACAGTAACTCTGCTTCTTTCAATGTGCCTCCCGGCTCTGAGCTTCAGGGTGTGTTCTGCTTATTTTAGATTTTCAAACTTTTTTTTGCAAACATGAGTCCTAGAGTATACTTGTTCTTTTTTAAATGAGGTTCTCATGCGATCTCTTGATTCCAGCAGCTGAGAAATATACCTGACAGGAGAGGTGAAAGCAAAATGCTAGAACTTCTGACACTGTTGGAATAACTCCATTGAAATAAACAGAATTATATCTGCCCTAAACTGAAGAAAAGGGACATTCTTCTGAGCTTTTAACTGTGCAAGGATAGGCTGTCTAAACATCCCTGATGATTTGAGAGGTGTGTGTAAACCAGGGACGTGGGAAAACATGGACCTTGCTGCTTTGGGACACCTAAACTGTCCTCTCTGCAGCTGTTCAGCTCATGGAACTAATAAACTCTATCCTCAACCCTTGAAAATCCTTCCCCCCTTTGTCCTGAATTTTTAGGTCTATTTAACTAGGATTAATACATTGCATTGTACCAGCAGTGACTACAGCTCATCTAATTGGATTAAAAAATTATACTAAAAGCTCTGATCTGTGTCTTAATTACTGGCAAAGACAGGCTAGGGAGGGAGGCATAGAGAACTGATGTTTCTAAACAACATTTACTGGTAAGAACTGTAATTTGAGGGAGAGTCAGAGGGAAGTGGAGGGAGTGACTGCTGGGTCCTTGGGTGACTACTTTGCTTTCTCGGTTTGTTTCTGACTGTTTGGCGGGTTGCTGGGGTGGAAGGAGGGGCTGAGCCCAGCGTGACTGGTGACCGTGGAGCTTGCTCCCATCACACACACACACACATGCACCCCCTCCCCCGCCAGTCATCACTCATGCTTCCTTTGCCGCCCACCAACACCCCGACTAAATGCTACGCAATCCCCCCTGCGCTGGAAAACTATTGGTTTCCCAGGTTATTGGTTCCTCAAGAGTTACAAGGCTGCTGTTTTCAGACACCACCCACCACTAACAAGTTTATCTTCAGTCTCTACACACCCCTTGATTTAGTTCTGTCCTGGGCATACACACTGCGTGCCTTTGTGCGTGTGCGCGCGCGCGCGTGTGTGTGTGTGTGGGGGGGTGGTCTCCTAAACCTTGCCAATAACCCTGCCTGGCTTTCTTCCCCCTTCCCATACGAGTTTGAAGTAACACACCTCCTCCCCGGAAGCCCCTTTTCCTGCTCTCCTCTAGTACCGGCAGACGCCCCGCATCCGGACTCGATCCTCTCCGACAGGCACGGGACGAAGAGGCAGCTCCGCACTCGGCCCCGCGCCGCACGGATGCGGCCGCGGGACCGTGGAAACCCCCCCGCGACACACCCGAACTGTCCCATTCACAAACCCTGTTGGGTGACGTAACCTTGTATCTTACTGGGCACCCCCAGCGTCCCGCTGATTGGCTAAGAGTAAAGAAGAGGCGTGGCAGCAGGCACAAAACTTGCCGCGCTGCCGCTCCCCTCGGCGCTCCGCTGGTGTTTGCGTGTTGGAGCAGAGGCGCTGTCCCCACCCGAGCCCGCTGATCATGGACACGGACAACTCAGGTTAGTGCTGCCTCCGTCTCCTGTTCTGGTCCCTGCATTCGCTGCGCTGCCAGTGACTGCAGTCATCACTGGAGTGGAAACGTTTCTCTTCATTCCTGTAGCTGACCTTTCAAGCACGTGCAAGCGCTGCTTCATCTTCTCTGGGTACTTTGTTTAAAGACAAACATCTCCTGGCTGTTTTGTATTGTATTTTGTATTGTGTGTTGTTTCGTTTTTTTCTGGCGTGTTGTTAGAAACTCTGGCTTCTTAAAAGGGTTGCTTGACAAGAAGCTGGTGTCAGTCCTCAGGCTGTAGTAACACTTGGATTTGTCCGTGGCAGCCTCTGTGCTTGGTGTGTGTTTGTGAGTGAGGGAGAGAAACAACTGTCTGGTTAAAAAAAATTAAATTAAATAAAAAAATCTCCCCCCCCCCACCCCCTCCTGTGGCAAAATATTAGCTATATTTTTCAATGAAAACAATGTGCAACCCCTAAATGACGTTAAATCTGAAGGAGGGTTTCCCAGAAAGTAAGATGCACTCACACATGTTATGTGTATATTTACTACTAACTTATACAGTTCCCTGAGATGAGTGTTTCTTATCTCCTTTAAGTGACCCTTGATATATTAAAAAATACAGCTCTTCATGAACACTTCTTTCAAATAATAATTTGCATAATTTATCACCCAACAGCTCTTATCTTTAGGATCTCTCATGAAAATCATCCAAGTCTTTCAATCCCAGATAAAATATACCGTATAGCATGTCCTGAAGGTCCCCCAAATGACAACTTCCTCTTTTTTAATATCTGCTATTTGAAGTAAATTTTGTGCCTGGGTATATTTCTGGGAATTGTGGATGTGTGAGGGCTCCAAGCGTGGGTGTGGTTTGTGTTTACTTGCGTCTTAGTTTTTTTCATTAATGTTAAAGGTGAATATTGGCTAGTAGATGTCTATCTCCTGTGAACACACATGACTTAGTGTGCAGTATCAAAGCCAGCTGTGTGCAGAATAACATCCCTTCTTTTTTTCACTTTTCATCTATGATGGGAGTCGGTGCTGGGGCAGCCCAATTCCCAGACCTCCAGGTGTTGAGAGGACTTCAGCACTCCTGTACAGCCTCTAGCTCAGTGATTCTCAGGCAGAGTTCTGCTGCACCCTGGGGTGCCTGGAAATCCTTTGAAGGGTGCTGCTAGATGTGAGGAGATATGCTGGTAGACTCATACTTGGGCTTGTCCCTGTCTGGCTGACTTCCCCCATCCCCTCTACAAGGATGTAAGCAGTGCAATATAAATCCAGTTTTGAAAGTAGATGCCACTCAATTAAAAAAGGTTATGGAGTATTGCCTCGAGTCCAAAAAGGTTGAGAACCTAGTTCTTCTCATGGGGGCAGATGAATTGTCTGTTTCCAGTGTTTAGCATTGTTTTTTTCCCAGGACTGGGGGGAAAGCAACGTTCTGGGGTCACTGCTGTACCATGCCGCTTACTATCCTGGCCATTTTCCACCTGGAATCGCAGAGTAGCCCTTGATATATAATGATGAGGAAAAATGAACATCTGGGCTGTCTCGGGGACACCAAAAGAAATGTTCTAAGGCTGTGTTATCCCTTAAATTGTGGTCAGAGCCTCAAAACCAGCTGTCTTATCAGGACCTGGCAGACAACCAAGGTCTGTTGCTCAGAATGAGTACTGAAGCACAGTGCTACCTCCATCTGACAAGCTGTATACCCATAGAACAGTTCCTGCTCTTGAAAAACGGTTGCATGCTTGCTTCCTGCCACTTGCAGATAATGAGTGCATTGTTCGTTTCATTCTTGAAATGGCTGCAGGATAGCCCTATGCATGTGTGACAAAATAATTAGGGTGACTATCTGCAGGCACACATGGAACACTGCCCCCCCCCCCCCCCCCCCCCACCACAGCCCCGGGAATTTTGCATGTGCATTCAGTGGGGTAAGGCTGAGAATTTCCCTTTCTGTAGCCTATTATTTGTGAGTGACCAAGAAATTCATCTCTCCTCTGACAATGTTACACTAAGTACTCATAAATTTACAAATGGGGGGGGATACATTCTTCTCTAAACTACATTCCTGTAAATCCAAGAATGAACCCAGCGGAAATTTTATGCTTTATACCAGCATAACTAAGATCAGAACTTGGCTAGTGAATTCCAATTGCTTCAAAGGAGTCGCTTCAGTTCAGCACAGACCTTCTCCTGTAGTTTGGAAGAATTATTTTTACTTTTCTGGACAGTAGACTTTAAAACAAAACAAATGAACCCCCCCCCCCCCCAAAGAAAAAGAGTTTATAAAGGGCCTTTTTTTTTCCCCCCAAAGGAAATGAGTTTATAAAGGAGCCTATTGTTTATGCCACGTGAAGGATGTGATTGAAACCAGCAACTCAAGGAGATGAAAAGATAAAGGAGCAGGGTGGCTTTCTGCTTGAACTTGTCCTATTCTTTGTGAGAGTTGCAGGGGGTCTCAGCTAAGCCATGATGGTACATTCTGCATAGAACTTAGTCACAGCAGGCTTCTTCCTTGCTTAAAGTGGCTTTATCGCAAACTTTGGGCCCATAAACCTCTTTCTATTGTGTCGGGGACAGTGCGTCTGGTGCAGGAGTTGTGAAATCATGAAGCAAATATCTAGACTGTGTTTTCAAGTAGGGAACTTTATTTCCCCTCTCTAGGCAAAGGGCCTTGCATATATATAGCTGATGGGAATCCACTAACAGCCATGATTACACACTTTCTTTCTAGGAATGATTAGGTTCATTGGCAGAGAAATGAGGAGGTAGGAGGGCTTTGTGGCAACGGTGCTGAACTGAGACTTGGGTCTTGGTTCTTCTCTAGGCTTTGCCACACCTTCCTTAGTAGAGTGGTTTTGTCTACATAAAGTAGGTGTATTGCTGCTGCTTTTCCATGTGCGTGTGCTGTGAGGATAATGTCACTGGGCTACCAGCCACGCTGACTTGTGCCACTAGAGGACCTGGCCTATTAATTCTGTGAGCCATTTGGATACCAGGGGAATGTCAAAGGGTTACTTAAGTCAAACTGCACGTTGGGGCTAGTGTCAAGGTGTGGATCTCTATCGCCATCAATACGCAAGGGAATGATGTGGTTCGCATCACTTCTGGCCACATCTGACTATCCAGTCTGAATGCCAGGTACCTCTTACAGCTGTATGAGCTTCAGCACGAGTCCAGAGTAAGGCTTTGAAGCCATCAGACAGCTGAACTACTCTGCCTTTCTGGAGTTTGAGGAGGGCAGTGGTATGGCCCTATCCATATCTACCTGTCCTGGCTAAAAGTATCCACTAAGCATGCCTGGTCTTATTCACATTCTACTTAAATGTGCACCAGTGGCATAAATCAATAGCAACACCAGGATAAGCAAGAGCACATGCAGGCTCTTTGTAGAGTGGTGCTTGCTACGAGCTCTGAGGGGTGGTGGCGCCTGTAGCATTTCTGTGGCGCCTCCACCTTCCTCTCCTTCCTGTAGTTCTGTGATGTTCCTTCTTTCATAAACTATTATACAAGTTTATGGAGACAAGCTACATGATAAAATATCAGCAGTGGTCCTAATGCCTTCCTGAAGACAACAGATTTACACTAGGGAAGAACTTAGCTCATTGGGTCTTTGTCAGTGGTTGTAAACAGCAACGATGCTGATGCTTGCCTCTGCTGGTGGGATGTTCATGAAGTCACTCTTACTTGCTGCCGATCGTCTGGCTGCTTCTGATGGTGGAACAGTCAAAAGTTCAGCCCTCGGAGGATGGAGAGTGCCTTGCACCAGCCATCCCTGGTGCTGCCCCCAGCCCTCTTCAGCCAAAAGGATGGCCCACGCAGCTTGGGTGGGAGGGCTGCATAGTGGAAATCCTAGAACTTTTGAGAGGGAAGCATTTTCTGTGCTGCTCCAGTAGCAATAGGCACCAGGCTGTGATTAAGCTCCTGCTCAGACATAACCTGGGGTGGGTCCACTGCTCTGCCTCAGGAAGGGGATGACTGCATGGCTCTTCAGGCACTTGCTGTGAAGTTCCAGACATTTGCTTTGGCAAGCCTCTTCATGAGGAAAGAATGACAACCTCAGCTCCTAGACCCCAAACAAGGGAGTCAAATTATAGAGGAGACTCTGCCAGTTGTATTTATATTGCATAATCTGCACATTGCTGGATGGCTCAGTCCTAGAAATTCACTTAGTTCCCAGTGATTAAGTACAGGACTCCTCTGAAATGCTGACAAAGCTTCCTCTACAGATTTATGTGCCTTAGTTGGGAACACAGGACTAGAAGGGGCCACTGAGTCTGGTCCTCCATTCCCAGGCAACTGCTTATCCAAATATTCCCCAAAACAACTACTTCAAGCCCTCATGCCTTCCACAGCACAAAACCAGAAACAACCAGAACCCCTATAATGGGCCACAGGCAAAAGCAGGGGAGATGAGGCCACCAGTTGTCCTCCACATCAAAAGCAACTTGGGGAAAATTTAAGAAATGACCCAAGTTGATTCTACTTTTGTGATTGGATAAACTTGGAGTAATTACATTGAAGTTACTGATGTAATGGGGGTAAGTGAGACCAGAATCGGGTCAGATAGGAGTTGGGTCTTTTCCATGCTATACCATAGCATCTATGGCTATTGGTGATGCAGTTTCAACAGCTCTGTGGCAAGGATCATGGTATCACTGGGATATACTCGGGAGAGCCAGCGGAGACCAAGCAGTCTCATGTCCTACTCGAAATGACGCACTGGCCAAACAAGCCTAAGGTGGCTGGGACCAAAGGTCTCCTTGGTGGGGAGAGCCAAGCTGTGGTTCGCTGCTGGGGTGTGCAAGTTGCTCCATGGCTCTGCATCCATGGCTGTCCTGCCAGAGTGTTCCTCTGCTCTCCCCACCATTGCCAAGCTGGCTTTACAGCCCCCACATGGCCTGACAGAGTCTGGGGAGTTGAGCACCTTCACACAGTCTTTATGGTGGTGACTACTTGCGCCAGGCTCCTATTCACTCTTCTTCCCCAGCACCTTCACAAATACCTGGCTACTTTGGGCATAAGAGCTTTCTGACTAGCAGCTTTTGCCATGTGAGGCAACAACCCTGTATCCTCCGAGCAACAGGCCCTTCTGTCAGCCTTTTTCCTCTAAGTTCCCTTCTCCCTTGGCTATTCTACAACTCCTAAGAGCCACTGTGGTGTTCAGCATATGTAACTCCACCTGAATCTGTGTGAGATGAATGAGATCAGAATGAATTACTTGCAGTTAATGAACTCGGCTGATTTTGTTCCCTTTTTTCAGTGCTGACTGATGACCTCAGTGACCTCCTGAGGGAGTTTGATGAAGTGATTGAAGACTTTGACAACGGTGAGGCCTGTCAGTATGAGCAGCACTTGGAGGACATGAAGAGAAGGACGGTGTCCAGCGTGTATGACAGTGGCATCGATGAGCTAGAGAGTGAGTCTAGGCAGGGGTTATTTGGTTCAGAATGAAATAAGCCTGGTTCTCAGTGCTTTTCACCTTTTGTTTGGGGAAATGCCACTAGTGCATAAGGAGACAGGTCTGCCCTCAGCCTCTCCAGCAGGAGAATAAGCAGCTTGGTAGAGACCCCTTGAAAAGGATGGTAGGCCTCAGACGGTTTCAATTCTCCAGCTCTCTGAGGCTGTGTATCTAGTTTGTTTAATTATTCATCTTTCATGTTATTCAGTCTGAGCAGCAGCACCCCAGCCACTGGCTCATTGGTCTCTTTCCTCTAAGGTTGCATTAGGCAGCATCTGTTTTTGCCTTCAGGTACTCTGCCTGGTTGCTTAGAAGTTCACAGGCAAGGGTCCATCCACCATGCCAGAGGGATCATATCTCTGCTGGTTTGATAGCTTCATTGCTGCACAATACGCTTGGGATATGGGATTAAACCCACCTGTTCCCTCTTAATTGTTTTGGTCCTCTGTTCCAAGAAACCCTCTGAAGTTCCAGACTGCTGTGTACCATAGTTACACCCAGATTGTAGCAGGTCTGCTGGCTAACAACGAAATCCAGCAGCCAAATATGAGAATCCTATTGCATTAATTGTTTTGCCCCCCATCCCCTGCTAGCACATTTATGTATAGTTGTGGCCCTGGGACCTAGACTGTCTTGGCAAACTGACTTATCTTGCTATGTCGGCAGGTGCCAGCACCTCACCTGGAAGCAGTTTAAACTCCAGTGAGGAGGATCTCAACACCAAAGCCAATGCTTCTGAATCCAAAGGTAAGACCAAGACAGATTTCCTTTGGAAAGGGCTCCTGAGGGGACTTCAGGGGAAAACCCATTTAAAGAGACCCAGGAGAGGAGATGTCTCCTATCCAGAAACAGATACCTTAGCAATGGACCAGGATCCATTGAAAATGTATGCTCGGATAATGAGCTGTAACTTTACCTTATCCAAATATTTGTGTTGGAAACCTGGATGTAAGGGATATGTTACAATATAAATGGGAAGAAGAGTGCAGTAACCTTCCAGCAGATCTCAGCATATGCATGAAGTTACTAGGGAATGATATTTTTGATCCAGGCTGGAATTTGATATTGGGCCTATTTAGAGATTATTCAGGACCTATTCTTAGCTGAGAATTTGTTACTGAAACAATCCCTCAGTCCTGATGCTGACTGAGGGATGAGCACTGCAGTGAGTGACCTTGTAAGCAGTGCCTTGCGTGGCATATGTTGGTACAGGAACAAGAACAATACTGGGAATTGTAAACCTCAATTTTCCTTGATATGCCAATATAAATCTGCTGACTTGAGTAGTCATTCTAGGCCTACAGCAGTGGAAGTGAGAGGGGAATAGGGCCCTTGCCTTTGATCTTGTAGTTCCTACTGGTTTTTTGTTTGTTTGTTTTGTTTTTTTCAGCCTGGGCTATGAGTTATGTCCCATTGGACCATCCTAAGACTCGGATGCCTTTTGTCTGGGATTTGTGGCTGAATAGTACAGATGCAAGGGAGTGGGGGGAAGGCTGATTAACTGTTTAGACAACCCCTCCTCCACAACTCCCTGCTTTGAATATTTGCCCTGGTATGTGAGTGTTCCTGGTAGAAGCAAGAGCAGAATTTGCAAACATTAGCAGATTTTCTAATACAGACTCCATGCTGGATTGAAGGGACCATGGCCTAGACTTCTAGCAATGTCCAAAGCTTCCTGGGGAAGCACCCTCAGGTTACTCAGACATCTTGATTCTTACTTGGGGATTTGGCATAGCCAAAAAGACTGTCCTAGAAAAAATCCATAACAAATCCTACACTAAATTCGGCATGTGAAGTATAAGACTTTGTGAAGTTAGTGCTGTGCAGTGGCTCATGTAGGCTGAACATAATCGGCAAAGATCACAATCTATATGCCAATTGTTAAGTCCAAGAGCTATGGTCTAAGTTTTTGGGCTCCTCTAACCAGAATGCCATGCAATGAAATAATGTCCACTACATATACTTCCTATCAGAAAAGTGTACTGATCAAATTTGACCTAGTTTTATCGCAGCAGTGTTAGACTCTAGACTTTTTTTTCCCCCTTCTGTTGCAAATGAAGCTATTTTATATAAACCTTTTCCTAGATATTCCAAATCATTGTGCTAAGATGTGCATATGGATGATATGAAGCCAGTAATAAGTAGCAGGCAACCTCAGCAGATATGGGCAGAAACAGCAGCAGGGAATCCCTTTCATAGCCTGTATTGGGGTGCGAGCAGCATGCTAAGTATCTGACCATGTATATCTCCATCTGCTAGCTAAACTCGGAGACACACAAGAGCTGGAGGACTTCATTGCAGATCTGGACAAAGTGCTGGAGGGTATGTATGCAGCTTTGATCTCTGCTTCCTCTCCATGCAAGCTGATGAGATCCTCCACTGCTGTCAATCAGGGTTGCTCCTTCAAAGTTGATAGTACCACAGTGAAAACATAGACTGAGGGGCCATCTGTAGCCATTAATGCATCTGATCATCACCTCACTCAGTTTCTCACACTGCAGTCTCTTGCACTAGCAAAACATCAGTCCCAGCTATGTGGTAGTTCTGGCTGAATTTTGTCAAATGTATGTCAACAGTTTGTCAGGACCTGGCAGGCTGGAATGCTGCATCCAGCATGGCGTGATCCTGGGCTGGAGTGTAGTGCCAGGCTGTGGGGCATTCTGGCTTGGCTTGGTGCAAAGCAGCTGTGGTTGAGAACATGAGATCTTATTCAATGACTCCAAGGGGATAAGGTCCCAAGTCTTATACAGCCACTATCAGATTCATTTATTCAATGGGAGCAGGGCACCTAAATTCTGAAAGCACCTTTTGAAACCCTAAAGTGAAACCTGGATGGAGGAGGTACAATCTTAGCTCCACTGGAGGTCTGTCAGTGACTTCTGTGGTTACAGGAGTTTACTTTTAGATTCTACTTGCTCTAGCAGCAAGTTGCCAAAGGCTGCTGGGTGATTTCTTGTGCCTTCTCTGTGCATCCATTTCCCCCTCTGTGGAACCAGGGTGAGGATGGTGACCTGCCCAGGGAGGTTTGAGGCATAGTTGCTCTTGAAGTGCTCCCAGGACACTGGATGGAGGAGGCTCTAGGACTTGCCATTCTAGATTGTTTGGGGTGACCCTACTGCACTGCCTCCTGTGCTCTGCACCATGGCTGTTTACTTGTAGTGCTTCTCTGAGTTAAAGGAAAGCAGAAAAAATGAGAAGGGGGAGAGGTCCATCCTTCATAGTGTCATAAGGCTGGCAGGAATCCCCCTAGCCTAGAGGCAACCCAGCCTTGGCTGGATTTTCCCCTTGCATAAGCTATCAGTTGTAATCAACAGAGTGAAGCAGTGTGAGTTTCTAGAGGGTAGGATGGTGATTTGGGAGGTTAGGTCACTACTGGGCAAACCCTCGACTCTGTGGGTGTGTGGGAAAGGTCTTTGTTCTCACTACTCGGCTTGCCTGTTATGCTAATGAAGCAGAGAGTGGGGGGTTATGTTCTAGGTGGGAAATTTTTTTGTTTTGTTTATCTGATTTCTTATGGGGGGGAAATTCCTGCCCTCCTTTGGCAGGGCTGCTGATCACAGACCATTCTATCTCTCCAGAGGCAGCAAGCTTTCAAATGTATCTTTTGCTGTTGACAATGGCCAGAGTGACCAAGAAAATGTTGCCTTTCCCTAGCACTCTTGACCCAAGCAGATTGGTAGACTCTGCAGACTGTGATTAATTAAGTCTTGCAGCCCCCTCTTAAGTTGACTGGTCTTAGTATTTTACAGCTAGGGAGACTGAGCGCCAGAACTTAAGGTCTGCCCTTTCAAAACCAGTTTGTAGGTGCCCAACAAGGATCTGATTTCTCTGATGCTGAGCAGATCCAACTGAATTCACTTATTGTTCAGGCCCCCTTATGAAAGTCACCACCTTGGGGGGCTGAAGCTACTTTACCTGAAATGCTGCTGTGATTTGACAAGGAACAAGTTCCTGCAAGTGGAACTAGGAACCAGACCCAAGACCCCAGGTTCCCAGTCTTCGGGTCCAGTCACTAAGCGCACACAGCTGCAGTAAAAGAAGAGGAGGGTTTCCATTGTGTTGGCTCTGAGGTAGGTCTTAGCCCATCAGGATTCAGTTCAGTGGCCTCACCAATACATTTCTTTTGTCCTGCAGAGATGTGAGATGCTATGTCCTGGATGGATGCTGAAAGAAGGATATTAAGGCAAATTAGAACTGTGCCTCATTCTTGCAACCCATGTTTCATGTTCTACTTTGTTTGAAAGAGCAGAGTTTATGACTTGCACGCAAAGCAGCAAGGATGAGACGGTTACTCTGCAAATAGGAATTGCTTGCTTAGCAACAGCCACGAGCTTCCGGTGAAGACCCAACCACAGGCTGCAACAGCAATGCAGTCATAGCTGAGAATCCCAGCTGGGCTTCCTCTGTCTGGCTTATGGCTGCCTCTTCAGACAACCAGCATACATAGTGGAGACCTGATTCATTTTGGGAGTGAGTGATGCTGAGAGTTGGGAGGCAGTTGCATATTAGCTTGGGCTGGGTTTCCTCTGCCCTCAAGCTTTCTGCTTACAAGGCAAAGTTGCACCAACTCTTAGCCAGAGTACAGCTTCTATCCACCTCCCCCATTTTATTAAAGGGCTGTCCATCTCCAATGGGGTAGAAGAGGAATGGTTTTAAAGAGAGATCTCTGCTCAAAGAGCATCATTTGGTCCTGCAGCCTTTGGGCCTCTTCTGGGCATTATCATGATGTCTGTGTGGACTAGCTATTGGCTACTAAAATTGTAAGTGGCATGGGCATGTCTCTTAACATGTAAGCAAAGACGTACCAGTTTAAGTATTTCTTAGAAGGCATTTTTAGGAGATCAATGCTAACAACTGACTGACATTTTACCATAGTTTAAGAGTAGAGAGACCCATACCTTCTAGTTCAGATCCAGGGATTTGGTATAATTAGTACAACAAAAAACACCAAATCTGAAATTCCCTCTGCTTTGGATCTCTGTTGCAACTTGGCAGTTAAAAGCTTATGTTTCAAGATGCATATTCATCAAGGGTAACTACTGAATCATAAATTATGATAATTTTTAGCATGACTCAGTTAAACCTTCAGCTGCCATGAAATTGTGGTTTTTCCACTGACCAACCAGGTCACCAAGTATTGCACTGGCACACAGTGCAACTACATCACTTTCTCTGAACTGAAAGTGAAAGTTATCTCCTGTTCCAAGTATTATGGACAAAGTGATCTTTGCCCATGTTCTCAGCTTGCCAGTGGGCATCTTCAGACACTGCCCTGCCTGAACTCTGGAAGTCTGATTCTGTTCCACCCATTAGGTACATAGACTGATGTTGGATGTCTAAGTCTGATCCTATTTTACCCTGTTCAAGCTCCAGAGAAAATATTAGCATGCCTACTTTTGAAATGGGCCACTTTTTCCCTGTAAGATGGTGTCACAAGAAACCGCGAGCTAGAAGAGAATATACTGACCACTTGCATCGCTGCTTTTTCAAAGACTTGAGCAGGATGAAATAGGATTGCACCTGGGTGCCTGAGTCCATGCATCTAACTTGGGCGTGGGCAAAATGTGGCCTGCCAGGCCTTTCTATCCAGCCTGCAGGGCCCCTAAAAAATTTTAAAAATGAATATTTATCTGCCCTGGGCTGCTTGTCATGTGGTCCTTGAGGGCTTGCCAAAACTCAGTAAGTGGCCCTCTGCCCAAAATAATTGCCCACCCCTGATCTAACTGGTGGAACAGGATCTGACTGTATGTGCCTCTGCCTTGGGTGCTTGTATTCTGCTGTAAATATTGTAAATAATGAGGAGTCTTGTATCTTATACAGATGTGTTTGTATATATGAATAAAAAGATGTTGTGGAACCTCTAAGCAAAGTGGTTTTCTTTGTAGACGGAGAGATCCCTTGGAAACAGTTTAATCTCCAGAGCCATGTGCTAAAGCAGCTTTGTAGTTAAAGAGCTGCAACTAACTAATCCAAAAATGCTTGGAGCGGCAGGTAAGGAGCACCCTGAAAGGGTGATACCACGTGCCCCCTCCCCCTCGCTCTTTGTCACATGCAGAAATGTAGCAAGCTGAATGTAAGGTTTAAATGCTGAACTGGGGGTTTAATAACATGTAGGTAACTGGTATGCAGAAAGGGAATAAATGGAAGGGCAGGAAAATATGGCCCAGAAGAACTGTGGGAAGACTCAGGAGGACTATCTGCCCCAAGTTCAGCTGCTGCACTGCAAGGCAGGTGGGATGCAGGCTATACCCCTAAATGGGTTGGCTAGCCATTATGTAGGTGCATCTACACATGGGCTTTAATGCACATTAGCCTATTTTTAATGTGCATTAAAGAATTGCCCCAAAAAAGAACTCTTCAGCTAATCTGCATTAAAATAAGCTAATGCACTTTTTTTCTAGCACCTCACAATGAAGGTACAAGATTTAATGTGCATTACTAATTCTGACAGACATTCAGGCACATCTACATGTTCATTAATGCGCTTTAGGTATGTGGACACTAATGGGGTTCAAAGCAAAACTTGGTGTGAATCCAAATTACTCTGCACTTAAGACACATCTTAAGTGATTCTTCCACTTGGAAGCTGTCTTGAATTCTGGTCATCTGGAAGAGTTCACAGTAAACAAGCGCCCAGTAAGACTGAAAAGGCTTCAGTGGGAAGGGACTTGTGCATGGTGACAACATCTTGGATTCCTTTATTATAGCAGAGGGACGGCTCTTACGGTCAGGATTTCTAAAGTCTCCTTAATCCACACTTTAAACCAACATCTCCTTAGGATAGGGTGAGTATCACGAACTTGGAGTCATTTGAGCAAGTAGTTCCAGAGGTACATGCTCCTCACTCTGGGGGGGGGAAAAAAAAAAAATGACATAAATAGCATGAACATTTATAACTTCTCTGGTGCATGCTGGGTTCAAATTATGGTTCCAATCTCTTCCCCAGCTGGTGTCTCCTTCTCAGAATGGCTTCTTCTAGAGTCCAGCAACCACTGCTCCTTGAAGCAGTGGACATCTGAGCAGGATATGTAGTAAAGGAGAACTTCTTTATGGTTATGCCTGGAACAAGGAGGGAAAAGCAAAGGAAAGTGTCTGCTTTCATAGGCCTAAAAAGGCAAAGCAATCTACTCCTTTCTCTCATTTCAAGTCCCTGTTTTTAGTCCTTTCCTTTTCTTCCCCCTTATGATTGTTGGCTTAGAAACAGTATTTAAAGTTCTGTTTTGGGGGGAATTGGCTTATATGTATAGATATATGCATGATAAGGGGTCAAGATGGGCAGAAGGGGTTAATGGATTTCTAAAGAGCTTGGGCGATTCGCGCACAGCCTCTCATAGCCCTGAAAGCAAATGGGCTGTCTAGCACAAGACCAACAGATGGACACAGCCTGAGAATGAAGGGGGGCATGCCATGACATGGGATCATGGCCTTCAAGGCAGATGTGTTGTCTAACACAACAAGGACACATAATCTAGGAAATAGCCTGGGAAGCAAAGGAAGTATGTCCCATAACACAAAATAAGTGACACCAGCCACAAGGCCTCAGAGAGCATGGGGGCCTAAGTCCCAGTTTTGGGGGAACAGACCAAATTAGGAGGAGGCCTGGAAGGCTACATGGACATGTGACCGCAGAGAGACAGCCATCCAGAGAGAGCCACATCCACAGCGAGCAACTGTGAGTGGTTCCAGTTTAACTTGATTTGTCCAGCACCTTCCAGGTGGTTTTGTTTTATTTCTGTTTCCTGGAGATAATGAACAAATACCAAGTCCCACTACAAGGGGAATCATTTAAAAAGGAAGATAAATAAAAATGACCACTAGTATCTTTTCTTTTTAAATGTTTTGCTCCTGAATAGGTCTTGACCTATAGTTTACAGCTAGGAGGCGGCCAAAACCTCCTCTCCTTATATCATATGTAGAACAGTCTGATTTCTAGGAGTGATGGAGGAAAAAGATGGAATGATTGGTCATTTGCATGAATCTAACAAGTCAGATGATGAAGGGGTTGGTCATGTGACTGGGGTCAGAATCACCAATTCCAATGAACCATCAATCATCAACAGCCAACATCTGTTGGGTCAGGAAGAACACAGTAACTCCTGGCACTTCCAGCGAAGTGGCATGAGCTACAGCAGAGAGTTGCAAGTCAGTCAGTGCCCAAAGAGCAAGGGAGGTGGGCATGTCATTTCTTGATGCTGAAAATGGTTGGGGCTTCAGTGAGCAGCACTAGCCTTGATATTTGCACTAGTCTTGGTTTTTGTTTCCTCTCTAGCGGACTGAAGCATTTGGAGATGGCTGAATGTGACAACTTTCTGTCCTTAAAAAGAGCAGCTTATCTCAGAAAGATCCAGCATGACTCCCTAAGACAAGGATGGGAAAAGGGTGTAAAGTTAGGGCCAGCTGGGATGTCCATATTAAAGGAGAGCTTCTGCCTTCACAATGGAAGGGGTAGTTACCACTGAGGGAACAGATGGTGCTTTCAACAGCACTCAGCTTATGACCATTGACCCCTGGAAACTCACAGCAGGCACTTTGGGCAAAGCTTGTAAGGTGGATTTGATAGAAGAATGAATTCATGTCATCTAAAGCCCCGTCTGTGTCACAATGCTATCCTAATCCTGTAGTAAGTATCTATGAAACAGAAATAGCCTATCAATGATTCTATACATAGGAGTGGTGTCATCTGCTGGGATTGGTGGTTTCCAGGAGACTTGCCAGAGAAACTTAGCTTATGGTATTGAAAGGATACCAGCTCCAAGTTGGTCCGCACTTCATGCCTAGGAGGCAAGGAGTCTGAAACCTATGCTGGGTCCCTGAAAAGAAGCAAAGGGAAACCAGACCAGTCAGTCAAGAGGCTGCATCAGCCTTGCAAGCAAACAAACAATGGCAATGGGATCTTAAAAGAGCATCCCATCCTAGAATGGTACCTCTGTGATATCTTCATGAGAACTCCTGGTACTGCTCTGGATGATAGTCACTGCCCCCAAGGAGGAAGAAGAGGAGGGGGCCATTGGATTGGCAGAAAAGAGTCCTCAGTATAGGGATGCCACTACAGGGGTGAGCAACCCACCAGGAATTCCACAAGAATCCTCTTTAATTACCTCACAGGTAGGAGAAAAAAGCACAAGCTCCCAGTGGGAGCGACTCTGAATCTATCCAGAAACCTCCACAGGTTCTTGTTCTAAATCAGTGGCTCTCATAGGCAGAGGGAGGAAAAAAAGTATTTGGGGGAGCTGAGCATGCGCATGTGCACACGTGCCCCCTCCCCAGGTGGGAAGAGTCTGCGGGGGGAGGGGAAAGGGCCAGGGGGTGGAGGCTGCGGCAGTGAGGTGCCAACACAAGGAGCAGAGGCTGAGCCCAGCTGCAACCCACCCATGACCTGTGCAAAGATTGGGGGCCCACGTGCCTTCCCCCCCACCCATTGGCTCACCAGCACTGCACTGGCTCTGGAGGAGCTGCTGGCCTGCGCTGGGTTCGGGACCTGGTGTGCCTGCGAGGCCATCCCTTCCCTTGTACCCAGGGTCATTGCCCGATGCCAGCCCCCACAAATCCGCTGCCCCGTGCCGCCTGGTGGGGCCCAGACGGGGCTAGCCTTGGCTGCACCGCCAGGCCAAAGATGACAGAGCCCCCAGGACCCTGCGCCCGCCCCGAGTTGTGCCCAGGACAAACCCAGTGCAGCCTGGCAGCTCCTCCAGGGCTGGCACGGTGCTGGGGAGCAAAGGGAGGGGGGCATGTGGGCCCCTGATCTTTGCACAGGGCAAACGCAGGCCACAGCTGGGCTCAGCCTCTGCTCCCTGTGTCTGTGCCTCGCTGCCGCTGCTGCTTTGCAAGTGACGCAGTGGCATGTACATACTGCCACTGGGTGGGCCAGACAGTGAGGCACATGGCGCTGCACCGCACTGCATTCAAAGCAGGGGCAGCAACAAAGCACAAATGCAGGGAACAGAGGCTGAGCCCAGCTGTGGCCCACCCATGCCCTATGCAAAGATCAGGGGCCCACACATGCCCCCGCTTCATTCCCCAGCACCGCACTGTCTCTGGAGGAGTCGCCAGGCTCCAATTGCCTCATGACCTGGCCTGGCCAGGGCCTGATTCACCATGAACAGGGCCCTGGCTGGGCCGGTTCATGCGGCAATCCCCACAGTGCAGAAGGGAGCAGGACAGGGGTGAATGATTCACCCTGCCCCTACCCCACTCTCACACCCCACTCCACCCCCGCTTGATTAAAAAAAACTTCCCTGCCTGCAGCTGGGCCAGCTGCAATCCTGGCTGTGAGTGCACAGGGTATGTGAGTGTGCCCGCCCCTCCCCACTGCTGCAGCAGCCTGTGTCTGCCGCCCTTTGGCTATATCTGCTGCTCCACATTTGGGGGGGTTCAGCCCCATTAGTCCCCCTCCTTCCACCGCCTCACTCCCAATCCATTGCCCCCTCCTCCAGCCCCCCCAATGTGTGGGGCAGGAGGGGGGGAGTGTGTGTGGGGCAGGGGTGCACCCAAACAACCCCAGGCAGCCCCTTGTAGGCTGGAACTCCACCAGCCTGCAAGGGGAAACCCACAGTTTCTCACATTTTTCTCCTTTAAAGGAGGATCCATTTTTAAAGTTTGTTTACAACCCTTTCATATGTTCTTGTGACCCACTTTTGGGTCATGACCCATGGGTTAAGAAACACTGTTCTAAATGACCCAAGCAATTGCTTGTGGTTAAGAACAACCTGGGGATTTCTCTGATTTCTCTGATAGCAGGAACCT